TTATTTATCATTGGCTATTTTTCCAGCAACTGTAAGAAAAGTGAATACTTTAGCAGGCACTGCGCTCACTGCGTCGTAGATGCGAACGCAAATGGTTTGCAGTGAAAGCAGTCTATTTCTTTAATCTCAACTGCGGCCAGTGCGTCGCAGTTACGCGTAACTGAATCGCAAAATGGCTACTGCGCGTAACTGCGACACAGTTGTTAAAAAGTGGTGATATGGGTAGGGGATGGATTCATCAATAGAAATATAGGCTACATAAGTTATACTATTTATTTAGGATTGCTAGTTACATGTCTGTTGTCTTAACGTTGAGATAAGGATGGTAAGGCAAAAGCGATTTTTATTTCCAAGCGAAAAAAAAAGAACATAACAATGATGTCGACCTTTCGTATTTCGAATTTTGATTAGGTTGATATTAATCTCAACTTCATCTCACAATGGAAGGGTCTGTACTGTAAGTGAGCTAGATTAGACATGTTCGGGTCAAATAAAAGGTCTCACTGCCAAACTACTAAATTTAAATTATTAGCTGCCCTTGGCTTGTATGGATGGAGATAATTAACTTCTAGTGTATTGACGCTTTCAGTATAGTAACATCAATATACAGGAATTATATATATCCATTTCATATATAGCCAACTGAATATTTCGATAGTATACATCAAAAATCTATCTGAGATTCATCGACTTTGTTAAGAATATAGTAATTTCGATGTCTTCTGAAACGTAAGTGGTATCATAATCTAAAGAGATGAGCATTTTGTTCAAAACGTAATATTATCGATATTTCATATTTTATTTTAATTGAACTCAATAGACTGTACAGGATAACTAAAGGGTGGTCACAAAGTTTCAACCCCTCCTTAGTAAATCAAGAATATCTATATCAAACTCATATGAAGGTATTGATCAAATTATGTCATTTTGTGGAGAAAGAGAAGAGCTATCATCTGAAAAAAAGACAGTTTGAAATACATATATTTATTATAAAGGTATGGTCATTTTACTAATTTCGAGTGAAAAATTTTTATGTTGCGTTTTTTTGCAAAAAAACAAAAATATTCTAGCATTATTTGAATAATCGTAGTCGATTGAGATATGGATTTTTACATATCTTCAGTAGATATTTTTATATGATTAGATAGAGTTCGACAAGCTCTACCAAAATATAGACATCCAAAAAAATTTTTGATCCTCTTTTGAATACAAAACCTGAAAGCAATCAGACAGACTAATAAAAATCTGGCAAATCGTGTGTTGCATAGTATACGTAACTTTCAATAAGTTTGGTAGATCGACTGTTCTGTCTATTATTTTATATTTTGAGATGCTTTGTCACGTACTGTAGATGAAAATACCCTTTCCGAGCTTCAAGAATAGACTAACTAATCGATTGACTAAAGGTATTGGAAATTAAGCACGCTTTCTTTAATACACGATATATC